GCAACCCCTGAAAAAGGGACAAAGCCGAAAGAAAAAGAAGATTCAGCTAAATCTTTTCCGTTGGATTTTTTTAGCTCTTTGGCTAATAGCATTTTTCTTGTTAGTATAATTTTGCGCTAACTTCTGCTTTTTGAGTGATTTTCTTTTTGTAATTTTTCTATTTACTACTATATTTACTATTTTCCTGCTTTTCTGACACACTAACAAATTTCCTGTCAAAATGTTCTTTAATTGACCTGAACTTTTTAATGTTATGTAGCTATCAATTTCTCTAGTTTGGGACCAATAACATTTAAGCTAATGTTATAGCATTAAACTTTAGCTATCGGCTAACCAGCTGAATTTGTCAAGTGGCTAACTTTAGCTTTTCTGATAAACTTATTATTATATTTGTCAATTAACTGAAAAAAGTTGTTTTTAGGCTTTCCCTCAAATACTGAATAGTTATCTATGTAGTTAACATTTTTTAATGTTCAGTATTTCTTTGCTACTAACCTTTAGTTAACTTTTAGCTAAAATGTTTTTTAGAAATGTTTAAATATTTGTATAAAACTATATTTACAACATAGTGACCATAAACACAACCAGCAGTTTAAATAGGTGTCAAATTTTATTAAAATATGCCACAACATGGCAGTTTAATGACGACACATTTCATAGAAATAAAGTGAACGTGATGTCAAACAAACATCACATTATGATAAATGTTAATAGAATAAATAAATAGAACATGGGAAAAAAACAAAAACAAATAGTTGATACATTCAAACTGAGCAGAGTCATAAATTATAACAGACCTTTGACCTGTGCCCTGACACACAGGTGGTGACCTTAAAAAAAAAATTCAGTCAGTTAAAAAGGAGTGTGACAGAAAAGTGATTTTTTTGAAATGTGGAGTTTGATAAGATGTTGATGTTGGTTTTAAATGAGTAGAATTTTCATTTTAAAACTGTTTAGAATAACGTTAACAAATGTCATTTGATCTCCTGCCTTGGTTCCTGGTTGAGTTGAGGATGGATTAGCCGGGGTTACTTTGAATTGATTTGTACTCTGTTAATTTGTTCTAATTGATTCAGTTCATATGCATTGACTTGACAACTAATCTGAATGATTGATCAGTTGATTTAAATCCCATGTGATTGATTTGTCTTTAGTTAAACTGAGTTTAAATTTAAGTTTCTGTGAACAAGTTTGAAATAACTGGAGTTTATTGATTTTGACAGGAAGTGACTTAAAGGTCACAGAGATAAAATGCATCAAACTAATTAATTTTGACCAGTAATAACTTCAACCAGGAACCAAGTGGTAGGAAATCTGCTCCTACAGAATCAAAGTTAAACACCAGTTTGTTGTAGTCATTATGTTTACTGTCTGTAACAAAAGTGATGTTGTAAAAAAAAAACAATCCTTCCCTAGAAAGTCAAGTTTGGACAGAGTCCTGGAGTCTGAGCAGGACAGCTGACAGGACCAGTGTCCGTCCTCAGTCCTGTCTTCTGCTAATACAGTACATGTCCTTCTGTGTTTCTCCTCAGACCACATCAGTCCGTGCCATGAGGTCGACCGACCGACGCTCCTCTTCAGAGTCCTCCTCACTCTGCAGCGTGGAGAGCGTCCCCTGGTCTCGACCCCCCCTTCCCTGCACGATGGACTTTCTTCAGAGAAAAGGTCGCCTGGGTTCCGAAAACCCTTTTTCTGTAGAACAAAGTGTGAAGGTCGGCACGTCGTCCTTAGGAGGCCGGGCTCTTGCCCTCCCACGCCCTGGCCCTGTGGCGCCGTCGCAGCAGCCACTTCTCCAGCAGCAGTCTGGTTTTGGAGGCCAGTGCTGCAGGTGACGCCTGCTTCCTGTTGCTGCTGTGGACAAAGACAAGACAAGAGGTGAGACACCTGGTGACGTCCATCTTTCTCTGTGACTATGTAAAAAAAAAAACTGTAACGCTGTAGCTTCACATTTAACTCACTAACTATGTCAACTATTGTCTTTGCAGGCGACCTGACTGACGCTATGAACTCTGGGAGTTTGGAAAGAGCTGCTTGAACATCAGGTGATGTGAGGAGAGTGTGTGTGTGTGTGTGTGTGTGTTGCATACTTTAGGTCTTAGAGGATTTTATGGCTTTCACTGCAGGGTTCACTTATAATTTACACTGAATTCCTAACTAGAGGCTTAATCTGAAAATGTCTGCCTCCAGAACCACGCGCCTCCTGCCGTTATCTCCCGGCTCAGGAAGGTTTTATGCCCCCAACCAAAAAAAAAAGAAAGATGTGATCTAACACATTCTTATCTCTCCCCCCCACTAGTGTAGTGTGTGTGTGTGTATGTGTTTAGCACAGAAACCTTGACTTTCTTTCCCTGAGTTTTGTTTTACCTCCTAATCTCGCCCGTGTCTCCTGCCAGCTCCTGTTTGCACTGAGGCTCAGAGCAGCCGTGGCCTCGGGCGCTGAGGTGGATCAGTGTGTCGGGCGATGTCTCATACCTGCGAGCCAGAGAAGAGAAGGAACACACAAACACACGCCATTAGGAGCAGGATCGACTGTCAGCCGTTCATCTGACACAACAGAGGACGTCTAGGTGGAGGAGCGACGTCTCGCACGCGATGGAAACAACCGCAGAGACGTCAAGACAGGAGTCTTTGTGTCCTTATGTTTCAGGTAAAGTATGTTTCCATCTCCTGTCCTAGGGAAATGTGTCTGAGCAGAGACGGCTGCAAGTGGTGACCACGACTTTTCTTTCTGTGTTTCAGGTCCGTCTGTGGGGAGCAGAGAAGAGGATCCCACATGTGACCCACACAGACTGACCTGTACGTATCCTCACCCATTAATGCCTGACATGGTGTAAATGTTTTCCTTTCTCATTTACCCACATGTGGGTAAATGAGAAAGGAAAACATCACTGACAGTTAGTCCAGTGCACCAACAGATCAGGTTACATTAATGGGTGTGGATACGTACAGGTCAGTCTGTGTGGGTCACATGTGGACTCCACTTCTCTGGTCCCCACAAACGGACCTGAAACACAGAAAGAAAAGGCCCATCTGGGTCAGGACAGCCGTCTCTGCTGAGACACATTTCCCTAGAATCGAAGGAGGGCTGGGACAGGAGCTGAAGACATACGTCACCCTGGAATAAAGGACACAAAGAGGCTGTAACCCAGCCCACAGAGTGGAACACTGTAACACTTAGATATCTGTGTGTGTGTGTCTGTGGTTTCCATGGCCATGTCTTTGGGGGGGGGGGTTCTAATAAAAGCTGCACAGTCACTAAACAACAGTCTACATTCATTTTAAGCTATAGATATGTGTTGGTGTATTAGGCTGATTGTCAGTTATATATATATGTGTATATATATACATACAAGTGTATATATATATACACTTATATACACATATACACTTATATATATAAGTGTATATATATACACATATATAAGTGTATATATACACACTTATATATATATATAAGTGTATATATAGGTATATATATACTTATATATATAACTGACAATTTCATATATATATGAAATTGTTAGTTATATATAAGTATAATATACCTATATATAAACACTTAAATATATATACTTATATATAAGTGTATATATAAGTATATATATATAACTGACAATCATATATATATGATTGTCAGTTATATGTATAAGTATATATATATACACTTATATATAATATATGTGTATATATATATACTTATATATATAACTGACAATTTTGTATATATATATGATTGTCAGTTATATATATATATAAGTGTATATATATATATATAACTGACAATCACCAATTTGGTCCTGAGAATCTTTGCTGTATATATTGATTTATTTTTTTTACCAATTTCATGCAGAAGAGATTGAGAGATATACATATCTCTTAATGACTAAATAAATATATACATATCTTTATATATACATATAGACATTAATATATATATATATCCTAATGACTAAGGACTAAATCTGCATGAAACTTCTCAAAAATAAATCAATATATATACAGCAAATATTCTCACAACCACAGGTGAGAAACCCCTGACACTAACGCTGAAGTAACAGATGTATTGAATATTCACCTGAGGCTCTGGTCCAGTCCACAGAAGGATCTGCAGTTCTTGTCGTCTCGGCTGAAACACTGGCAGCGCGGTGGGCTCCTGGGGGCCAGCGGCTCTGAGGCTGCACGCCTCCTCCTGGGAGCGTTTCCCAGTCCATAAGAGACCACACGTCTGGAGAGACAAGAGGTGAATGTTACAGTTAAAACTATTTTTTTTACTTGTTATGATTGTGGAATCTTCACATGTGATATAGCAAAAATCTAAATAAAGCATGAACACAGTTAAACCTCAGTCTCCAATGTGATTACTTTTCAAACTAAACAGTGAGTGATGGAGGTCACATTTATCCCTGAACTAAGGTGACATTTGAACTGTTAATAAGAAGAGGAAGAAGCACTTACTCAGGTGTGTTGACCCAGATGATGTCCAGGTGGCAGAAGTAAACGCACTCCTTGTCCAGGAAAGTGGCGCAGGAGCAGCGTTTGTTGCGCACATGTGTCCCGTGAGAAAGAGCTGAGTTGGTGGTGGAGGAGGTGGAGGCTGAGTCTGAGGCTGAGTCTGAGTCTGCAGCAGGAGCGGAGAGAACTGGAGAGAAAATCAAAAAACACTTCAAGTTAACAGTTTTTCTGCAACAATGCAAAGAAAAAAACACAATTTAAAATGTCCTAAAGTAACATTCTGGGCTTCAAAAATACCGTAATGGTTGAAAAACCCGTTTTAACGCAAGTTAGAAAAGTTACCTGTGCACAACATGCAGGTGTACATCACTGACAAGACGGAAACAAAAACGTATAAATCCATTTTCCCCAAGTGTTAGTTCAAATTAATCCTGCAAAACGTTAAGATCCACCAGAGTCCGTGTCGCTAAGATCCGCGCAGCTCCGTGTCTCTGTGTCACTGTGGATCCACATGTGCAGCACTTTGACTTTATACCAGGTCTGTACACCTCCTCCTCCTCCCCCTGCGCTCCCTCCCCCTCCGCTCCCTCCTCCCCCTGGGGCTCCTTTGTCCCGCTGGCTGCAGCCCAGACACCGATGTTTGTTGGAGGTTTTTCCGCAGATAAGCAGCGGGACACTTCGAGATGTCTCAGTTTGTTGGAGGTTATTATGGGATGCGGGTAAAGGGGGCGGCGCAACGCACAGTCTAGTAAGAAATGCCAGAGTCACAGTTTATGTCTGGATGTGTGGTTACACTTGTTATCCAGCAGATGGCAGCAGAAACGCGGGATTTTCGTTTTGGGCCAGGAGACCGGAGCAGCTCGGAGTGGTTGATGGAAACTGAGTCAGAGTGAGTACAGTTTCACCACACACACACACCTAGTGATTGTGTTAAATCTACAAAAATATACGGATGATTTTACAACTGAATTTTACTGACTTATTACACTAGTTAAAATGGATGCTCTAGACCAGGGGTCGGGAACATTTTCAGCAGAACTAGACCAGGGGTCGGGAACATTTTCAGTAGAAACAGCCAAAAAAGTCATACATTTTAAAACGTATCACAAAATATTTACCTGGCAGCATGTTTTAGGACCTAATCTTGCATTTTAAGGCATTTCGGGGACTTTTGTCAAAGTCATACATTTTAAAACGTATTTCCCTGAGAGCCACACGATATTTTCCCCCCTCTGAAAATACAACTAAATGTGTGAAATTTTAAACAAGACCAATGATTTTAGAGTATTATAAGTCTCGGAAGTAATTTTAAAAAATTACTAAAGTTATTTTAAAAAATAATAACGTTATACTGCGATTGGCTCCAGCTCAAAAAAAAAAATGTTAAGAGTATTATAAGTCTCGGAAGTAATTTAAAAAAATTACTAAAGTTATTTAAAAAAATAATAACGTTATACGGCGATTGGCTCCAGCTCAAAAAAAATAATGTTTGGATTAAAATGTCTAACGACGTTACAAACACAGGGTCCTATCGCGGGTGGTTGGTTCTAAGAGCCACCGCCAAATGGGGAAAACACTGCCATCTTGTGGCTAACTTTGGTCATTACCCCACCATATAATTAAATGCTCACCATATATGACAAGTAGAAATCTTACATTTCCCTGCGGTGAACCCCGGGCAGGCCGTCCTTAATTTATTTGATTATTTTAATTTTGTCATTAACTCATTAATTTTATTTATTTGATTTTTTTTTTTTTTAGCAAAAATGGACTGACTTTGTTTTCACTTTTCATGCCCGAACTAAAAGATGACGTACCAGGCTGATGATTTTACCGCAAATATTTAACACAACGCGTGGATTTTTTTTTTTTTAAAGATTATTTTACCACTATGATTTCTGTGATGTTTTACTTGAATAACTACAGAATTATGTATTAATTATTGTGTTAAGAAGAACAGCTAAGATTTATCTAAAAGCCAGATGCAGTCATTAAAAGAGCCACATCCGACACGCGAGCCTTAGGTTCCCGACCCCTGGTCCAGACCAAAACTATACACGTTTTTACACAAATTCTCAATAGTCAACGGTTTAAAACCCACACTGGAATTTATGTTTTCATTAATTTAGAGCATTAAAAAAACCCCATCAGGACAAATTAATGTTTTGTTTTTTTCTAACTTTGTATTTGTTTAAATTTTACAGCGGGGGAGGGATGGGGGGGCAACTTTGTTCTGTTGTGTTGTGTTTTTCTTACCTCTGCTCTGCTGCATTTCTTTCCCTGGCAATAGCGGAAAAGGGCCTGTAGGGGTCTCTGTTTGATCTGGTATCAGCGTCAGCTCCTTCAGGCTGGAATCCTGAGGGAGTGAGAAGGCAGAGGAGGAGGATGAGGATGATGATGATGATGATGATGATGATGACGAAGAGCATGCTGGGATCTGAGCTGTAGATGGATGAGTCACCTCCTGAGCGCCGCGGTCCTCTGAGAACCCTCCTCTCCGACGACTGCACCTTCACACCGACAACATCTCGGCTGCCGAACGATGATTTTAATCAAGAGGTCATCGTTGATGATGATGAGGACAGGAAGTCGTCTCCTCCTGCAGGTTAAAAGAAAATAACATTTGTAGAATATTATTGTTGCGACTCCACAGCCAGTCTTCATGTCTCTCTCTCCCTCTCTCTCTGTTTTAGGTTGGTCACAGGTGCAGGTGGAAGGAAAGGAGCTGATTGGTTCTCTCCTGAGGGCTCCACCATGAGAAGCCAGGTTCTACCAGCTGATTTATTTAAGTTTTTTTTTTTTTTTTTTGGTGAAGGCACTCTTTCTGTCTTTCTTGTTCTCTCTAAAACTGAACGTAACACACCAAAAAAAAAACTAAATGATTAAAAGTCTGTAAAACACATCATATGTGATTGACTTTTCTTCAACAGCAGAGTTAGTTAGTACCTGGTGTATGTCTCTGCACACACCTCCTCAATCACAAAATATTCACCTGGCAGC